AAAAAAAAGGAATTCCTTTTTTTTCAAATATATCAGCAGAAGATGGAAATTTTTATTTTGGTTTTCAGTGATTAAAAAGGCTTATTTTAATAAGTGAAGCTAAATTCGGTTTCATTGCTGTTGAATTAAGCATAATTTAATTTAATTAATGCAAAAACCAAAAGCATAAATTCTCTTTGTAATATCGATTAAAATAACATATCGGTACTATTAACTTTTTGGTTTGATCCTCGCATTCAGTAGACTTTAGAAAACTGTAAACTCTCAAAAGTTAAGTTCGCTAGCTTAAGCCTTATTTTACATGCTTCCACCGTATAATCCACTGATTTGTTCGAAATATAGGTTGTAAAATATGAAAAGATGGCTGATTCAACTTTTTAAAAGAATAATAAAGCTTACAAGTATGTTGCAGAGGTACAGTTCCATTACTGATATATCCGAAGAAGTGATGTCTCGAATCAGTGATATTTTTAACATTTACTAATTTGGAACCTGATGATTCTAAATCATAGTCAATAAATAATGCAGTTGATTTTTTAGTAACATCTGAAATACACATTTAATAAACCCTAAATATAGATGGTATTACATGAAATGCAAAAAAAATAACCATCAAAAAATTATTACCAATTAATGAAATAACATGAAGATATCCACCAGGAGCTGGAATTATTGATTGAAATTGAAAAGCTTGTATATTAGCAGTTATATAATTCGGATAATTAAGCACTTGTAATTCATCACCCAAATGAACGATTGGTGAAGGATGTTCCTCATCAAAATCACTTATCTTTACCTATTAATCATTATTAAATATATGTAATAGTTATATAATTTTTATATCATTTTTTGAATGATATATCAATAATCATAGCACTAATTAATGAAACAATAATCCCTTTCTATCATTTATGAAGATATTATTAACATAAAAATTATTTATAACCAATATTAAGATATATGATTTTGAAAAAAAAAAAAAATGTCACCATAAATTTTCCGCATTAAACTAACATAATCGAGACTGGATGATGGAAATTGTGGAAATATTTGAGGTGATAGTTCTAGCTCTTCAAACCCTATAAATGAAGTTAATATTTTTTGGTGTTAAGGAATTTAAAAAAAAGGTAATAATTGGGAGGAAATTTATGTCTAATTGCAAATTACAATTACTATGCATATCGGAGATTATTTAATTTTAAAAACCAAATCAGGAAAATCATACAATTTCCAATCGTCATATTATTAGCTTCACAACATAGATGAATTATTTCATTGGTTATAATACCAAATCTGGATAAACGACTACGTCGACAGGCGAAATTTTTTGGACATTGATTACGATCATTTGGATTACATGTTTTCAGATCCAAATACATGACATTATCTGGACAGATATATTTTTGAGAAAATACATCTGCAAATTTGCATCATTTAATTTAAACAAATGATATTAATCGGTAATGCATTGATTTAGTTGGTAATATTGGATAACAAGTATGCAAAAATATCTGTATATTGTTAAGCATATCATTGTTGATATATTAATTTCCATGATAAAAAGGTTACCGAGCATTGTATAAACGTATATAAGCGGAATTATTATCATATTTTAACATTAAATATGTCAAAATATAATTTTATATCCCTAGAAGTTATAAATAAATCGAGAATATTGCTAATTGTTAATCGATAAAGTTTATAAGCTCCGAATCGTTAATATTTGAATTACCATCTAAACTATTACTTAATGATTGCTTTATTTTACTTCTTCTGAGCAAATTGATATAATGTGTTGATAATCTGATGAAATGTATTAAATGGAATGATAATATAGCTAATTTAGATTTTGGGCCTTAATCAGAAAATTGTTAATTGAAGCGTACTTGCCAAGATTGATTGACAAATGATAAAAGCAAGCATATACGGCAACATAACCTAAAATGAAAAGTGAATTTGACATTTTGATAATAATCACATTAATTTATAAATGAAAATATGGCAATATGAATTATTAGAGGTAATGATTGCTTGATTACACTCAATTGCTCAATTGATTGCAATCGATTGCTCAATCCTGATATGCTTATTCTATTCATCATTCTGTATCAATCAATTTGTGATGACTGTATAAATAAGGATACCAAAACTAGTTGCACGAAACAGCAGATACTTGGAAGATTTTTAGATAAACTTCATAATTGAACTAAATTGGAACTACTTGACCCTTTAATTATTACTGTTAAATAGAGCTCCACGAAATATTTAGCGGAATATTTGAGATTTTTAGCGAAAACTTTTAATCACTGAATGACCATTGGATAGCGTGTTTTCCATTTTTCATGAATAGGCAAAAAAGATTAGCCCTTGAGACCATATAGTTTTGAACATAACAATTCCTTCCCAACTCTATTACATTGGTTAAACTCTACCACATTGGCTTTTTAGCGCTAATTTTACGAAAAATTTGAAGTCAAGGAAGAACAAATTTTGGATGAGCAATAAATATTTCTAATTCTCGCAAATTCACTAGACTTAAAACTAAAAATGGTCCGGAATCCATGTTTATACCTGTAGCACAGAGAACGATATTACACTTAGCACCGGGCAGCATGTAAACTGTGCACGTATTGTTACTGTGGATTATTCGATAATATTTGCTCAACTGTCCATACCACTAAAACAAACCACCGTGTGTTCATTTGACTTATCTTACTCATTATCCAACACACGAGATGAATTTTCTGAATTGAACAAATGAATAAGTTCAGCGTATATGTTATCCAAAATGTTCACTTGTGCAACGGAACAACAAATTGTGGTGAGTAATTCATTTAAATTATTAGTAACAACTATTGAGCAAAAAAAAAAAACATCACAGCATATGCAAAACAATTGTAGGCTTTTAAATGAATCTCTAGGTGAGATCACAAAGCAAGTCTATTCAAAAAAACTTTTAAATCACGGACAGTCATGGTAGCCAAATAGATCAATGACTCTTATAAGCACCTGTGACAAAGGAAAAAGTGAAAACCAAAAGTGAAAACCTTATTATGCTTTACGTGCAAGTTGCATCGCAACAAATAGAACTTCTAAGATTCTCAAATGGAATGGAAAAAATTTACATGACTATAATTTTTAAAATAGATGAAGCGGCTGAACAAAGACTGTAGCATATTCATGAGAATGACAGAACACAGAAGATGTTCCCTTCACGAAATATTTAAAATTACGAAAACCTGACTCGGTAATGACTAGGGATAATAGAGCCCATTTTTTCTGAGTGAACTGATATACTCAAACTAATTTTGTAAAAGCTAGCAGTTGTAAAAGTTAGCGAAATGAAAGAAACAACTACTACGCTAAAATTCTCAAGTCAGGAACCCGACCCGCAAGCAATTTAACAAATTTGCACCAAGTTACTGATTGGCAAGTGCTCGCAATTGGCGAAGAATTGTATCCAGAAGTTTTTTACGGTCCTTCTCACGACCTTTGGCGAAAAAGCTTGATGATTTGCGTTCGAATTCAACCAGTCTAAATTCAAAGGGTGAAACAACAAACTTGCCGAAATATTAAAACTGAAATGATTACAAACTTACTTCTGTGACGCCGTTAGTTGGGAATTTACGCAACGATAAATGACGGTGCTTGCAAATTTAAAAAATTAAAATATCAATTAATACATACTTCTCTAATAAGATAATCGCATGCGATGCTTTAACCCTTGAATACTTGCTTTCTTCTTTGCCGTAATCAGCCAAATAAGTTGGCCAATCAGCTTTCATAACTAGATCAAGAAGTTGCCTCAAACTTGCAAAAGTCATCGCAAGAGTTCCATCCTGAAATAAACTAAATTAGAAGTCGCATACAAATAAAGTGGTGGAAAAAAGCTGGCACATACTTCCAATCCTGCAACAGGACACTGAGAAGCAAATAACTCGCATTGTATCACATCCAAATCGAACTGATCAAGTGCACCAGTGCTTACAGTTTTCAAATCAGTATTCAGAAGTAACTCTGTTAATCGATTTGCCAAATATTTACAGGTCTAAAATAGTCCATTAATTGTCTTTATAACAAACTATTCATAAATAAGACTACGCTTAAGAGTACCAAATCTGATCATTCCATTCCCTTTTGGTTGAAGACAACGATCCGAAAATAAACGAAATTTTTGGGCTGACCATCCACTTAGGAGAAAGGAAAAAATAAGTAATGAATAAAGACAGAAAGGGGTAATTTTTAATGTCTGACAGAAAACATGGCATCAGCACTTCCTTTTACGTTATAATATCACAAAAGACTCACCTGCATGCAAACATGCCTTGCCAAAAGACTTGGCAAATTACTAAATGAAACGAAAGTTGTTTCCAAAAACTTGATCAAATCTGTGATATAGTCGCTCGCCCGACCACTTGAACATGACAATTCCCAGTCATAGTTGGCTAAAATTTTATTAGATTCGTAGAGAATTATTTAATAAGCTTCAAAGAATAGCCATTCCAACTTTAAGTTAGAAAAATATGTCGGAAGTAAAACTCACCAAGATCAAGAAATGCATCCACTTTGTCACGAAGTGCGTCATCAATTTGTTGCTCGACTTCGGAACGCGCATCTCTGAAAGAATGAATTAAAAAATGAATTAATGTCTATCTTTTGAGTCTCCTTCAGCTTCTTTTCGCTTGAAAATTGATAAAGAAACAAACCTGAAAACTTGATCCTTTAATGTAACTAAATGACCTGTAGTGTTAACAGAACCATTACTTGCGTTCGTTAGTTTACTGATGTAATGCTCAAGCGATTCACACGTCTTTTCCAAATAACCGATATTAATTGTAATTTGAACAAGCTAAAAAATAATGCAAAATAAAATAAACGGCTTGAAAAGACTTCAATTCATCTCTTACATGAGAAATATTAAATTTTCCTGCCTGTATGAGCGTCCGCTTTTTATTGGCTACAAAACTTTTCAAAGAACCTGACCAGCGTGCAAGAAGCACATTTGCATAACGACGTACTGTGTCATCCACCTGGAAAAAAGGATAAAACATAATAAACACTTATTTAGATAACATTAACGGAACTCGCCACGCTTAACATATGTTAGCAATGTAGTAGAATCTGTTAGGAATTTTAAAATGAATGACAAAGATAAGAAGATAAACAAGATTAATATCTTACAACATATTACAAAGCATTGTACAACCCGAAGGCTATCCAATGATAATCGATTTCAAAGAAATTTGAAAAAAAAAGGAACTGACCTCAGTGGGAGATAACTGTAGGTGTTCCATAAATTTCAAGCATCCAACGAGGTAATTCTTTGCTTGACCGTATACCGCTGGTACGAACTTCGAAAACGGAAACACTCGAGGATAAGGCTCCTGGTAAACGCAAAAAGAACTTTATAACGAAAGAAGTTCAATAGAAATTCAAAAATTCGCTGCAAGTCAAGAACAAATAGTGATATCAACTTATACTTGATCCATTCCTCTTCGGTAGAAAGGGAATTGTGTTACTACTGCTTTGAATGCTTCTTCATCTTTTGCTGTAATTGGTGTATAATTGTCACTTTCAAGGTCTCGTTCGAATTGGGCACAATATTCTCGCATCAAAATTTCGTTGTACTGATCTCTGCATTGTAGCAAGATTCATTCCATTAACGAAGTAAAAAAAAAAGAAGTAAATCAACTTTCACTCCATTGCAAACCCAATTTCCAGAGAAACCTCGATTTAGAAAAATACCTTAAAATACCTGAAATTTTGGAGCAGAGTGTAAAGAGAACCAATCCCAAATCCATAACTTTTCATTGTCATTGCAAACAACAAAATTACTTTCTTCATCTTCAACATCATTTCAACATCCAAACAACCACCCTATAGCAAAAGTTCTTACTTTCCTTATTATCAAGTTGGAATTTAAATATAGAGAAAAGAATCGAGAAATACCAGTCATGCTTACATGATAAGACATTATTATTAGAAACTTACAAAATGGGCATTCATAGTGGTTGTAACTTGATGTAGTGCCATCTCCCAAAGCTGATCCTTATAAGCGGCCGTTACCAGACTAGATTCTGTTTGCATAATATGATCTTCGACCACGAAAAAGCCAATAATTTCATCCAAATACTTCACGTATGAATGTATTGATTCTTGCTAAAATGAATAAATTTACTTGGAAAACCACAGCTCATTACAATACCGAAAGATACACCACTTCTGCAGTGCTCGGTATTAAAGATGAAAAAGATATTAAAGTTTTTTGGGTCATTAAGAAATTATCTTTCAAAGACACTGCTTACCAGTTTGCTTGGCGGTCGAATAACAACCACTGCTTGCTCTTTCCGTTGCTTTCTATAGTAGGCCTCGAAAGTTTCTTTCTCACCCTGAATGTGAAAGCTTATATAAATGAATGAAGCGATTTGACAAAAAGGAAAAAAGAAAATGGAAATTAAAAAAACAGCTATCAACGAGTGAGCGGAGATAAGTCTATGAATGGATTTCACAGCGCAAAAAAAAGTTCTACTCACAATGACATTGAAAATTTGACAGCATCGATGGATTGGTGTGAAATCAATAAGATCCTGAGCGCTAAGTAATTCATCATCTTCAGGGAGAGATAATTGAATCGGCTTTCGTTGTCTCTTATCATTTTTTTTGACAACTGAACCATCCGATGAAAGCACTGAAAAAGTTTCAGGGAAGAAATGAAGGGCTATCCACACTAGGATTAACTAATTTGACCGATGAAATATAATAGTCTTACAGAACTCACCGATAGATCATAATCCAGGTACTGCTTTCTTAGCATAACTAATACAACTAAAATCCCAATAAATACTCGTCGGATACCCTCTATTACCGTGCTGTCAGCATTCCTCCAGCAATCCGAACTTTTCAAATTATAAATGTCTATTTTTACTTGAATCTTGTACTTGACAATGTAATAAACATATCAGAAAAAATTGAGAACTTACCGACATCACCATTCACAGCGTTCTTTTTCGCTTCTTCTTGTAAACGTTTCACACGTTCAGCTTCTGTCATTCCAAAAGAGTGCTGTTCAGCCGTACACTTCGATGCATGCTGTCCGATACGTCCTGAAAATGACCCTACATATCGAATCTAAAAGTAACTCAGGCCGATTAATGGACTGATAACAAAAAGGATAAAAATTAAACCAAAGCAGAAAAAACTTACCGGAAACCTTCCGGATATCCTCCAGAAAATCTGTGAATTCCGAAAACGATTTTTCCTTGATTTGCTCACGAATTGGAAGTAATGATTTTTTCAACGCTTGTGTAAAACGATAATTATCAACATGAACCATGTAGGTGTGTTCCAATTCTTCCAATATTTTCAGTGCCTGGTAAAACCTGCAAATTATCACATTGTTCGAAGGTCATAACCGTTAGCTTGACTAAAATATATTGCAAAATTGGAAATTTTAATTCTTTCATGGTTAATTCCCACATGAATTTATATCATAAACATAAAGTAAAAGAAAAAACATAAACCAGTCGAAAAGAACAAAGCACGATTAAGTGACAGGAAAGTAATAACTTCTTCTGTTGCATATACTCATTTAGTTTCGCATAATTTTCAAGCACGGGTAAGCAAAGCGAAATGTGATCGATAGCAGTGTTTGCATTCCTTTGTAGTTTTCTATAACGCACAATTTCTGCACTACGCTTTCGCAACTCTTTGCTACTTTCTTGGATATTATGATCTATCGCGTTAACTTCATCCTGGAAGATCTCCCATTTATAATTAATTTACAGTGATTTCATGTGTTAGTATTGCAACTTACATACTGACATTTCAGGGACGAAGGAAGCAAAATTTCTGACAAATCTTAAAATCACATCATCACGTACTAGACAAAAGAAAATTCACCTTGATTTCTAAACATCGTGTCTTCAATTGCAACAATTGTTTCATGGCATCAATATATCCTTGGTAATGATACGAACAAATTCTCTGGATACTTTTGTCATAATGATGTATACGATGCTCTAGAGCACGTGCGAACTTGTGGACATCACCACAATCATAGATTGCTCTAAATAACTACAGTCGTTCGAAAACCAGAAATAAAGGTGATCTCTTTTATATTTGTATTTAAAAGGGGAACAAAAGAATCATAAATTAGCAGCTAACCTTAGCACCAAACCAACACTACCCGAATCGGTCGTTTCAAGTTCGTATAAGAAAAACTCTTGTTCAGCACTCATTTCCGGATCTAGAAGACAAGAAATGTACAGTTCTGAATAAAGTTTATACCATTTTTATGCAAATCTGATAGTTAATTCAATAAAAATCGCATCAAATGGCATACATTGTTGATATGAAGTGGAGGCAGTATCGCTACTTCCCGTTCCCGTTTCCTTCGAGGCACTAGCCGCCGATGAACCATCCATGTCCAATTTCTGTAGAAGCATATAATAAAGTGTGTGTGAGACAAAAAAGAAAATCAAGTAATATATAAAATAAGCCATGAAACTATGATAAAAACACCTAAGACGCACAAAACACACGTGTACAAAACTTAGGGATAGAACGGACTTAGCATATCGTAATAATTCATTGTTCATTTACTAAATTAAGCTTAAATTCATTTTTAGCATTTAAAAATGCATAATCAATGAACCTTCATTACCACCAATGATTTTCAATTAATAGCTTGTTCGCCCAATTCATACCAACACTCAACAAACATTCTGAAACTGAAAAATTCCAAGAATGTTATATATTCCACTTTACGTTACATCAGAGTACCACGATCATAAAGAACATCCCATATTTGAAAAGTATTAAAAAAGGAACAAATCTGCAAAGAGCAGTACATACATGTTTGCAAAACGTACAATAAAGTATGAGATTCATAGCAGAATACATGCAAAGCACATAAATGTACAGAACAATTCAAATGTAACGGAAAGAGAATTAAAGACATGAAAGGAACTTCTTCGAATCAGTGTAGTAGAAATTATTTTCAACACAAAGCTCTCTACACAGTAATTTTCGAAATAAAAGAGGGGTAAATAAAAACTGGGACGCTGAAAAAAAAAAAAAAAACTGAGACTCTACATACTAAAGCTGTCATCCAACATATCTGTTTCTCCTCAATCTATCGGTAATCACTCCCCGCAACCTGGCATCCATACCAGCATGATACTAATACAACCATAATACTGGACCATTGGTCTGAATTAAGCTGATGCTCCTAGTACAGCCGATGGCCATTGAAACTGGAACGCTACGCCAACCAGTTTCCCGGTGACATTTTTTGATTTCAAGAGAATTACTCTGCGAACCCCGAAAATGCAGCCATGTTGAAGACTTTCTGGACTAATTTGTAAGAATGGAATTTTAACTGTTGTAGTAATTGAAAATGCAGTCTGTTATTTGGTGGAAAAAGAGAAGGATCATCTAGACATCCGTAGTCTATTTCTCTTTCAGAAAAGTCACGGACCGTAAAAGTATAACAACCTGTCCAAAGTCTAAATTTTCCCGTAGAAGAAATATTCAATGTGTAGAGATGTATTCAAACTACGCTATACGAAATTTTCCAGTACTACACTTTATGCACGAATCAAGTTTACACCATGCACACTGCATTCAAAGCTCCAGTTAACTTTACACATAGCTATATTCGGGAATAGGTAATTTTATAAACTTCTCAGCGGAGGTCTACCACTAGAAAAGTTATTATGCAGTAATTTTTCCATCCAAATTCTACATTGGATTCATAACACAAAGCAACTTTGATGAAATTCAGAGAAAATTGCAGAGAAACTGGAATAAACTGAGCAAGAATGTATCGGCAATACCTGAAACGTTAGTTCCAAACAGCTCCCAAAAACTTTCCAGACCAGTCCAATGATCTGCTATTCAATGTTTCAAGCATTTTGTAACTATTTTCTCAACTAGGAATTAATCATAATGCATTTTCTCATTATATCAATGTAAACATTAAAAGTTGTATAAATCTGCATGTAACCGGTTCAGAAAGCAATTTTATTTAACACTTAGTTTATTGCCTACTACGATTCGTTTACAACTACATGGATAACTTCACTATCAGTTGGTACCGCCACCTTACCATTTTAATAATTAATCGAAATACAGCATGAGATCGTTATTTTTAGTCGTCGTTTCTACATTCTGTTTACAGCTGCTCTGAAATTACAAAATTAACAAAAACATATATAACGATTATGTAAAATAGCAAAAGTAATTTACGATCAATTTCTTTTGAGAAATGTCGAAATTTAAAGGAAAAAATTAGGAGAAAAAATTGGAATTTAGAACTTCATCATCTCACGACTGAGTGATAAGCTAAACAACATGCCTTTAAAATCCAGATAAGTTAAATATCTGTCGCAACTGTTCGTATGTTATCCAGAAGACCAATGACCAAGGCGCCTAAACTGATGTAAATATTTAACAACTTCAATTTTAAGAAATCCAACAAATTCATACTTTCTATTTTTCAGTAGATTTCAGCATAAGTTTCACCTATCTTGATTAGAAATTAATTTACCGATCGAACATAAGATGGCACAAAGCCTTTGTACAGTGCAAAAAAACCTTCATCTCGATAAATTCGTTTTAGACAATCATAAGATCCTTTGTACTGATGCGCCCTGCAATTAACTTACAGCGATAATAATATTGTCGAAAACGAGAACGGAAAAAAATAAGAAAAGAATAAGAATTTATCTAGAGATTAAAAAAGCCAAAACTTACAATTTTTCATCACTGCTGCGCAGTTGAACCATTATTCGTGTCTTTACAACATCCGCTGGAGTGGACAGAACTGCGGCAGCCATGCCCGAAACAAGACTGGCCATGAAATGTGTGGAATAATTATCCCGGAAACCTTTTGCTATCAACCAATGCTTCGTAAAATCGTACGTCGCAAGATCTGTGGTTTCACGTTTCAAACAAAAATTCAAACTTTTCTTCGAGATTAAAACATTCAGTTCCATATATGTACATATACGTAAGTATATATATATATATATATATGTATATATATATATGCAATAAGAAGTTGACTCATATTATCACATACAATATGAAATATATCAATTTGGCTTTCAAAATTCAGCACAATGCACTCACCAGCCATATTCAGTAGCGCTGCTCGCTGAGTGTTTGGAAGCCAACCAATCCACAGACCAGTGAAACCGTTACTTTTGTAAAGCGCAACAAGAAGATGATACGAATTCCAAGATCTGAAGCTGATTGTAGTCGAAACTAACAGAAACATGTGGAAGTTCGAAGAAATTCAGAAATTTTGGACGTTTTGTATAAAATACTATAAAATCAATGACCGAGGTTGAAGGTTTGCCGAATTTCGCCGTTTCTTCGTTTGCATTTGTATTTTGATTAAATCAGTTGGTGATGCCAGAAACTGTGCGACAGCACCTGATACTAAACCACATGTTGCCGACTGCCTTGAAAAAAAGCATAAGCAATTCTTCATGAAATTACTATTTGTAAAATCAACTGCAGCAAAACAAATGCAAGATAACGCTAAAAATCATCATACCACACTGGGAAAATTTTTTGTTTCTCCTTATCAAAAATTGCGGATCGCATAGTTTCGTATATACCCATTCGAAATCCAGTATAAACTATAATTAAACACATATTAATTCCTTAAAGCAAGATAAAGAATTGGTTTAGCTATTTTCGGAAATTAGCATAAGTAAGTTTAGTTTACTGATCTGCACGAAGCACCCTGAATTATTAGCGTTTCTTGATAATATGCCTTTATAGGAACTTACTGAGATGCCGATATAATGCTGGAGCAAGTCCACTGAACAGAGAGCGAAAGCTTTCATCCTTCACTGAAAATACAAAAATGAGGATAAGTTACACGTTAAAACAAAACACTCCCTATCAGATTTCTTGATAGAACAATTACCCCAAAAAATAAAAAGGGAAACTGGTAAAAACTTGCAACTAAAGATTTTTCCGGAAAAAGTCTATATTAGTATATATTTTTCATGTGAAATGAGACGTAGCACAGCAGCAGCACCTATAACTGAGCGAACCAATCTTACAAATGTGCCATGTGATCCGCAACACTGTAGGAGGTTTAATACCAGTTTTGGTTCCTTCCATACGGTTCTGTACCATTTGCAACCGAGTTTTGACGACATCCAGCGGATACGTTACTATGAAAAGAAGAAATCATCTTCAAGACATAAAAAGCTTTGAAAAACTTAATTTAGCATACAATTTGGACTTGACAGGAAAATTTTCCACCAGAATGATGCAGCATTAGAATATAAGCTAATTACTTTGAATGTTTAATTAGCATTCATCCGTTCCATAGCTTCAACAAATTTATAGAAAGTTTAGCAACAATATATACTGTACCATAAAAACGCGAACTAAAACAAAGCAAGATTTTCGGAAATTCCAAAAAATACCGCTTTCAGCAACGAATGATGCGCAACATGAGAGAACGTATTTGGAGCCAATAGCATGCAAAGTTAGTGATGTCTTCATTTGGTGTTCATTCGGATCCATTAGCCAGCTATAAAGAAAGTCGTAAAATTCAATGTTATTTCATCGTGTTACCACGTTCACTCTACGGAAGGTACGCCGAATGCAAATAACCTCAATAAAATACCAATTCAGCAGTGATTCGAAACAACTGTTCAGTAGATACTCATTTCCTCCAGACTTAATTAAACCTAATTGAGACCTAATTAAATATTGATGGAATCATTTCAAACAAACAACAAAATAAAATACGTCTGCAAAGTCTGAAATTCAAAAATATGTTCACCATAATTTCACCACGACACAGTGAAACGCTTCATTTCCTGCACTTACGATGAAAACATTGTTAGACGTCTACACTTCGGAACTCATTCCCATCTCATCTCCATCATAACTAGGTGATGATTTTCAACCTCACCGAAATTAAAATTAACACGGTACTACCACGAAACGTGTAGATCCAACATGAGTTTTCCTACTTCATATCTGAATGCTTAAAAGATTCATTACTTCTTTTGCTTTCTGATCTGATTATCCGAGCCAAAGAAAATTACGAATCTGATGCATTCTCGAGGTTGGGCCAAAGAAATGACTCTATCAAATTCTGATACTAATTATTCAGAATCATATTGATAACATTGACCCCAATACAGTAATGCATTTTTTCTTTTTTTTTTCAACTATGTAATACAAAAACTGTTACCTAAATGCTTAATAATCAAACGGAATATAATAATATAGATTTTAACAAAACTACAATATAATCTTAAGACCTAATAAATTGGAAAACAACGTATTAAATGAAATACAATTTTCAAAAAATACAGTACACATTTGTAATAAAAAATTCTAGAAACAAGAAAAACAAAGTGGAACATTCCCAAATTATCAATAAAATAGCTCAATAAGGACAGTAATTAAATATTTCAAAAAAAAAAAGAAAACAGTGGAAATATAAACAACAAATTCATTAAAAAGAAAATTTCAAATTTCAAAAAAAAACAAATGAGTGAATTCTCAAGTGTTTGGCCTGGGTTTAAATAATACCATCAGAATACTGCGTATTAGCTGAAAATTTTGCAGGATTCACATTTAATTCTTCCATCTTAATCAGTGCATATCAAAATAGCAATGATAGGACACTATTACGATAACTATACCCTTCTGTTTCCAAATTTAGAATTCAACAGCTTTAATACTTTAAGGCGAAAAGTCACCACCAAAAAACAATCGTTTGCTTTTTTTTTTGTTTCAATTTTTCCCTTTTTTCACTTTTTACTTCTTTTACTTCCTTTTCCTTCTTCGTTCCTTTTTTTGTCTTTTTCATTTGTTCTCCTTTTTGATTTCTTTTTTTTTTGCTTTTTCATCTCTTTTCTTTTGTTTTTTTTTGTTATTTTTGCCTTTTCTTTATTGTTTTTCTTCCTTATTTTTTTCAGTAAATGTTACTAACCGGCGTGCTCACCTTCTTCGGACAGAAGATGGAGAACCGGAACAGGCAGCAATGAGTTAATCACCTGGGATGAGATGATTGTTCTTATAATGCCAGAAGATCTGAAAAAAAATCCGTTCATACGAAAATTATTAGACCAATTTCATAAATCCTACTTTTTCCAATATTTTAATTGTATCAAAATTAAAATTTATGAAAGTTGTATGCTTCTTACCTGGAATAACGAGATACTAGATGTCCTCTTTTCGTCCCATAAATCTAACTCTGTTAAGCTTAATCCGTCTTTTATTTATCACTTAATCC